CCTTAATGCCTGAAGCAGAAGTTTTATTCATGTAATCACAATGTAACTTATGCTGGAAGAACCTCTGAAGGTCACCTAGTCCAACCTTCTGCTCAAAGCAGGGCTCGCTTCAAGGTCGCTCAGACCTCATCCTGTCCACTAGTGACTATTTCCAAGTATGGGGATTCAACCACTTTTGTGGGTCTTAGTCCAGCCCTTCACCATCCTCTTCATAAAAATTATTTCCTTGTCTCCATTTAAAATTTCTCCTTACTGTAATATCATCACTGCTGCTTGTCCTGTCACTGTGTACCTCCAAGGTGAGTCTTCCTCTGTCTTCTCTTAACCCTCCTTCTGGCAGGGAAGCAGCACTGCCAAATCCTCACCTTCAGCCTCCTCCTGCCCAGGCCAAACAGACCCAGTACCCGCAACTTCTCCAGCCCCCTGACTGTCCTGGTAGACAACAAGTTGATTGTAGGCTAGCAAAGTGCCTTTGTGGCCAAAAGTCCAATAGTATCCTGGGGTGCATTAAAAAGAGTATGGCCACCAGGTTAAAAGACGTCATCCTCCCCCCTCTACTCTGCCCTGCTGAGGACACATCTGGAATACTATGTCCAGTTCTGGACCCCCAGTTCAAGAAAGACAGGGAGCTTCTGGACAGAGTCCAGTGGAGGGCTACAAAGATGATCAGGGGAATGGAGCATCTCTCTTACGAGGAGAGGCTGAGACCCAGGTCTGTTTAGCCTGTAGAAGACTGACAAATCAATGCTTCACAGAATCGTCTAGGTTGGAAGGGACCTTAAAGATCATCTAGTCCAACCATCAACCTAACTCTAAAAATAAGCAATAAATAAGAAATAAGCAATTAAAAAAAAAAAAATCACTTACAAAGTGCTTACAAATATCTAAAGGGCAGGTGTCAAGAGGATGGGGCCAGACTCTTTTCAGTGGTGCCCAGGGACAGGACAAGGGGCAATGGGCACAAACTGGAATACAGGAAGTTCCATCTGAACATGAGGAAAAACTTCTTCGAGGGTGACAGAGCACTAGAACAGGCTGCCCAGAGAGGTTACGGAGTTGCCTTCCCTGGAGATATTCAAAACCCACCTGAACGCAATTCTGTACAACCCCCTCTAGGTGAACCTGCTTTAGCAAGGGAGGTGGACTAGGTGATATCCAGAGGTTCCTTCAAACCTCTACCATTCTGTGAACAGGAGACAGAATCCAGCTGTGGCCAAGAGGAGGAAATATTCAGTTCCCTCCAGCTATCAGTTATGCTCTTATTAATGCAGACCAATGAATGGCAGGCCTTCATCGCTGCAAAGAGCGATCTGTCAAGTCCCATTCAACTTGCTGTTTGCCAGGTCCTCAGGCTCTTCTCTGAAGCACCACCAGTCAGTACTGATGTACAGAGATTTTCTTTCTCAGTGAGAAAGACTCCACATTTTTCATAGCTAAAGCTCATGAGTCCTCTCAGGCCATTAACCCAGCACGCCAAGGTCCCTCTGAATAGCATCCCTGTCCTCCAGCCTATCATCCACTCCCTCCAACTTGCTGTCATCCACAAACTCAATGTGAATGCATTCATGGGTCACCAGTGATGACATTACACAGCATTAGCCCAAGGACTGACCCCTGAGGATCACCACCAGTTAGATTTTGAACAGCTGACTAGGCTAACTGGGTAGTAGTTCTTCAGGTCCTATTTGCTGCCCTTCTTGGAAAAAGAGCATAACATTAACCTTTTTCCAGTTATCACAAATATCTCCCTGTCATCACAACCTTGATAGAGGGGGGCCATTTGTGACACCAGCCAGCTCCAGCACCACCCTCAGATACACAAGTCCATACAGCTGGACATGATGTATGTCCAGTTCACATAAACAGTCACTTTCTTGAGCCTCCACCCCCCCAGGCACTACCTCTCACCCACAAGCTCTTGTACGAAGCACACAGAGTGAGAAGGAAGATTTAAATGAAACAATGGGTTTATCCCACTTCTTTGGAACTGAAGCTGGGTTCCTCTTCTATTTATTCAGAAGTAATTATTTTGGGTTTCATAAAATTATAGATTAGCTCAGTTGGAAGGGACCTCAAAAGACCACCTGGTCCAACCTCTTGTGGGAAAGGCAGCATAGATGAGAGCCTAATTTTCAATTATAAGAACACACTAAATTCCCAATATGTTAACACTGCTACAGCCACTTCAGCAATCTAACAGCTAATAATCAAAATTATTAACTTTTCTCCAAGAATCAACCTCTTCTCTACATATTGCAGATAAAAACTAAATTTAGTTTCACACAAGGGAGCTTAGACATCTTGTTTTCATTCCTGTGAAAAAATCCCGTAACAGCTTGCTGTCCAAATCATAACTCCAATATGAACTTTTAACAACAATCCTGAAAACTTTTATGTAATGAGAAGGTCAACTACTACTTTATATTTTCAGCTTTGGAACACTGAAAAAGCAATGAGTACCACCTGATTTTTAGATTTTTGTTTGTTTGTTTAGATCATATTTACAAGAGCTGTAATTTGCATTGTACTGTTCTTTGGCTTTTACAAAAACTTTTAATCCTTTATCTTTACCACACTAAATTACCACTGAAATACAAGGTACCTCTGTCAGAAGTACCTTAGTTTGATGTTTCTACTTAGCTTAAAAAAAAGGTAGAAAAAAATTCTATTAATGATGGACTTCTGGGAATGTTGCTATCAATTGGCAGCATTTAAGAATGAGAACCAAAGACTTGATCCTACTGAATCCTGTTTGTAATAGCTATGCCTAGCTAAGTGTAGAATCAAAAACTTTGCAGGACAGTGCTTAAATCATCCTCATAATCAAAAGTAAACTAAAAGAGGAAACAGACGAAAGCGCTTTCACTGATGAAACAAAAAAATAACATAAACAGTAAAAAGTATCACTATGTTGGTTACAGACTTTCTTCTCACTCTTACAGACTGAGGCCAAAAGTTCCATAATGCCTTTAAATTGTCATAAACTGGCACTTTGGCTGGAAGATACAGTCACAGTCTCTCTTCAGTGAGCAAAAACTTGAGATAAAAGTTGGAGCAGATGTTTCTTAAGACAATTTTTACTGTAGTTAACAGTCCTCTGCTGAGCTGCGCTAATTTGTTGTCTGTTAGAATATGTGACAAAACAACATAGAGGCAACAAGAAGTAATCAGGGCACAGCAGCATAGGTCACTTCTTTTAACTGGTGAACTGGGGCTTGCTAATTGACACGAAATTCACAAAACTACAGCCTTGCACCTTACAAGTTACAAACACAGGTTTTCAGTGTTATTCTCTGTCAATTGAAATTATAGCAAAAATAGTCTCTTGCAACAGAAGTAGACAATAAAGGTGTAAGAGCAGCCATACTATGCCAGGCAGAAGATTCACCTGGCCTGCTGTCTGCACCTGCATCCCCTTGAGCCAGAAGGGCAGCAGTATACTAGCAACAAGCTTGGCTTAGCTCCATCTGGTACTCCCAGAGCTGAGTTCCAGTTGTCAAAGCAGCAATTAAACCACAGTGCAAAACAAATACAGAGAAGGAAGCAATGGCCACCATAAAACAACAAAATCTGACACTCAAAAAGGATTAAAACAAACTGACCTGTGATGGACACCATGAAGACATAACAAGAAGCAGGAGGCAAGTTCACTGGTTTATAACATCACATACAACTTAGAATCATAATGTTAGTTGTGAAATTTGCCCACAAAGCATCATTCAAATGAACTATATTTCCACTTAAATATGTACAAGAATACACAGTAATACAAGAACCATCCCTTCTATTCTAAGACAAATTAGCCTTCTTAAAACCACATGGTGAAGGTCCTTCAGCAGAAGGTTTTTGGAAACTGCATTAAGACCTCACTACCTAAGTTCCTATATTCACATGTTTGTCAAGGCCAGACTTGCCTTTAACATGCCATATTTATTCACATGCCCATTTTCATTCTTTGTTTTAGTTTCTATTATTTTTCCTAATAAGACTGAAACCTGTACCAATCCATGATTCTTCCCAGGGAATATTTGTAAAAATTTATATGGCATCTACCACTGGCTGCCATTTTTCTGTTGTGCCTCTGAGTTCCTTCAGAACTCTGGGACAAAGCTCTGGAGTGATCACCATCTTGTAACTTTTCATTTTGGGTTGTCCTCTTATACCTTTCCTAACACAGAACCGTGAACATGACATCCAAAAACATCTCTAGACCCAAGTGTCCAACATCAGCTGTTTAGGCACAAAGATGCCTCCAAACAGTTTGCAAAAGTGGGAACTTATGCAGGTGCTACAAGCCCTTTACACTTCTGGAAAACACCATTAGAAGAGTAGGGCAGTTAAGACTAGGTGCCAGAACAGCACAATACCACAGCAAGAAAGCTTCCCAATGCTCACACTGGGGCAAGTTCAGGAAGATATTAATTCCAGAACATGGGGGTGGCGGGATGTGATAGGACACCCATGACCTCCAGAAATCTCCTCCTCCCCATCTCCAGAATTGATATGAACACAGCAAAGTGCACAGTGCTGAGATCTTCTAGGGCATGAATGGGTCCATGAGGCCCACCTGGCTCCGATTTCCCAGGAGGGTTAAGGACCAAGACAACTGCACCGGTCAAACCTACTGCACCCACCCCTCTCCAGGGTGGACTAAAGCACAAAGGGAAATGGTCAATTTCACACACGCTCCCTCCTGTCAGGAAGGGAGGAGGAATCTGGTCAATTTCAACCCCCTTGTTCTCCAGGGCCGAAGAGGGGCGGGGGCCGGCTCAGGACATTAGCATCCTCCCTTCTTGTGGGGCAGAAGAACCAACCTTCTTACCTTCGCGGGCGAAAGATGAAGAAAGAAGGCGAAACAGAAGAAGTGACCCAGCCTGCCACACCCCCCTCTCCCCAAGGCCGGAGACGGGCTGAGGGGCTGCTCAGAGCTGCCAACGCCTCCCTGCCGCGTTACCGGCGAAGGCCGCCTGCCCGAGCCCCTCCGCAGAGCCCGTACTCACAGGAACACGCTCCTCTTCCTCCTCCTCCTCCCGTGGCTCCATGGCGGCCGCCCCCTTCCCCTCACAGGGGCCGCCGTGGGGCCGCGGGCCGGCGCGAGCCCGCCCCGCCCTGCTGCGCACGCGCCGCTGCCCTGCCAACCTGACCCGTCGCTAGGGACTCACTCCCGCCGCGCGCATGCGCACGCGCGGGGAGGGGGGGGCGGAGGTGGCACCTTGCGCGCGCCGCGCAGCGACCGTTGCATGGAGGGCGGGGCGGGGGCCGCCGAGCGGCGGCTGAGCGGGCGCGCGCCAGGATTTTGGCGCGCGGAGCGGCGGACAGTACCCGGATGGGGAGTTTGACACAAACCGATCTCTGGTCCCAGCCCTTTTCCCGCTGGGTCCGGGTGAGCTGGAACACCGAGGGGAAATTCCTGCCAGTGAAAGGGGTATTTTCCTCACAACGCGTGTGGTGGCTGCATGCTTTTGCCGTGATCGGGGACCGTTTCCCCTGCTCTTCTCTGCCAGTCCGCTTGTATAAAGTCGATGCCTGATCATAGCAAGCTTTGGGGCTTAGTGATGAACGTACATTAAAATTTGGTGGCAGACGTTTTGAGATAGCGTTAGGGAATTATATGTCGTTTTCCTAGGCAGGGAGTCTGTTCATCTCACTCAAAACTCTCCACCAGGAGAGGTGGCCTGTCTGTGGCAGCCTGTCAGGGACCGTTTTCTCAGTCTGGTTGAGGAAAGGACAGGCCTTGAGTTTGGGGGAGATCCTGTGCCACCAGGGCAGTCTGAGAGCTTGAGGTGAACCCCTACAAAGGCCTGGGTGTCCATGGGACCTCCACAATCATTTGTTGCTTCCCTTCGGGTACCATGAAGGAAGAAGGAGCTCCACATTTCCCCTGTCACAGCCATAATGCTCTCCCCGAGGCATTCAGTACAAGTACTGACTGTAATGATGTTTTATGTTTCAGCTGGTTGTTGGCAAGGGCAAGGAAGGAATTTCCCCTGAAAAGCACGGTGATCCCGTGTATTTTATTTGCTCACCCTTCCTCTAAAGCACCAAGAGCAGGTGACAGTTGAAGCCAGAGCATCAGAAGATGTAGATCATTGATCTGGCACGATACTGACAGTCCTTCCCCCACAGCTCGAGAGGTACGGAGGAGTGAGAGGAGTCTCCAGGGTCATTGACTGCAGCTTCACCATCCGCGTTTCACAGGCAGAACATCATTTAATCTTTCATAAGGTTATTGAGCTCCTTCTCAAAAGCAATTAAGCTTTTCTGGTGTTGATACAAGCAATATATCTAGCTGTCCATATGAATATAGCTCCAGACTGTCCACCTCTCTGCATGTAAGACAATAAATAACTGCACCAATTTTCATTCTCTATTAAGCAGAGGGAAGCTGAAGTAGGCTGAAAAATAAAGGCGCCTCCATAACACTTTTTGTCTCCCGAGTTATTTATTCCCCTCATAGCAGTTATCTGCCATGTATCCTACGTAACATCTCCCAAAAGGCAGTGTATGTTCATTCTTGCCTGCATTGATTCTGCAGTGAATTGGGTGTTATTTTTCAAAGCTAGATAAATCAGAACACTAAAGTACGTCAAGGCAAACATTCCTTAAAATAATTAAAATGCTAACAAGAAAATGCAGCTTTATATCCAAACCCATCTCCTATTACAAATGCAATTAAATTTGCTGGTCTTAGGCAGTCCTACTCCTTGCTTGTGCACATCCCCAAAAATCATCACCTAATAATTTACAAGCGAGGCTTAAGAAAATACCATATCTTGGGGTGCATGCCTGGGGTGACTGGGTGAGGAAGAGAAGAGGCAGCAATAAAGGAGTAAATGCTGCTGCAAGAAGCCGAGATTCCGTGCTTGCTTTCCCTGGAAAGTATGAGGAATAGCCTGTTTGATTTCAGTGCCATTTTCCCCTAATTGCAGGGGTACGAGGGAGAGCAGAATTTAGCCCGTACGTTGTAGCGCTAATAACAGTTCCAAATGTCATCTGTGAGAAAGCTTGCCATTTGCTTTTCTCTCCTGCAAATGACTGAAGGGCTCTTCTTGTCATACAATACAGAAATTCTGTCATACCCTTTATTTTTAGAAGAGCAATTCACAGGCAGAGAGGGGAGGAGGAAGGGTTTTCTGAATGTTTATCGCTTACACATCATACAGGAAGCTGTTCACATTCTTTATTAATTTTCTAACAATATCCAGAGACTTACTCAGTCGGAGATGTAATATGCTAAAATCCTTTCCAATAAAATGTCACTTGAAATGAAAATTGGAGAGGAATTTTTAAAAAGGCCATCGCTGTGGAAAATTTTCAGAGGGAGCCAGGCCTGACCAGCCCTGTCTGGTTCGGCTTCCCCCAAAACTCTGTAAAGCTTGAGGGCTTTTAAAGGTGATATTATGTATTGAATACAGTGATTGATTAATGTGCTAGTTCCAGAGAAGAGTATAAAATACAGGTGTCCCTCATGACTGCAAATATCTTGGAAAAAGGAATATTTAAAAATCAGGTCCTGGCTTGTGCCAATGACCTGTTAATTGCAAAGCTTTTGACGTGGGGATTCATGCTGTCCAGTGCAAAAGTGCCCAGGCGGCAGAGGACTCTGGATGTGACCTCAGTGGAAGTGATTAATAAAAGCAGATATACAGTAGTGGGCATATTATGACCTGTTAATTAAGGGGCTCAGTCCCCTACCACAACTGATGGTCCCAGGCGGCCTGAGGGGATAAAGTGATCTACAAATGGTTGTGATTCCCTCAGCTACTGCACTTTTTGACTGACCTCTTGGCATGCCAGTGAAATACCAAACTGTTTTTCAAGTCTTTCTCTGAAGATCTAATTGAGTTTTTGGGCTGTCAGATTTGGATGCACTGAAGCAGTTGGAAACTTAAAATTATTGGGATCAGGTCAGCAGGATTATTCAGCTGTTCTGGAAAATCTCAACTATTTAATGTCTGCATATTTCAGTATCAGGTATCTCAAGGACACTTACACCTGGCGGAGCCAGCTCCGCTCTGTCTTTTCCTGGTTTGTAATTGAAAAAAAATCATGTGGTTCAGTGGGAGAGACCCAGGAGCTCTCTACATCTAGTCTTGGTTAAAAAAAAAAAAGTGAGGGAAAAAGCAAGTAAGTGAAGATAAAGCATGTCAGTGGGCAGAAGGGTGGGCAGCAAGGAGAAAGAAAGTGCTTGTGTGCGAGAAGACTGATTAGGTAGGTGATTCAATTAGTGAAAGGACAGTGGGAGTGCTCCGCTAAAAGAAGAGCTGAAATGTGTATGTATTAGTGCAAGTGAAGGAGCTCAAACTGCCAATGCAGGACATGAAACCAGGTATTAGGATAACGATGATAATAATGAGTTAGAGCTCATGACTAGAGCACCGGCACCAAAGAGTCAGCGCTGTGAGTGGAAGATGGAAATAAATGCATGAATGGGGAGGCTGCGCTACGTGCTGTGGTTTACTAGGCTGGAGGAATAGGAGCTGGGATGGGTGGCACGGAACCAGCGTAGGTCAACGTGACTTTGAGGAAAGCTTGAAAAAGATTTTCCTCCTTGCTGTCTGCGGTAGTGCTAACAATCTGCCATAATTACTGAAATACTGTCAGAGAAAGTAGGAGGGTTTATTAGCTGATTCTGTCTAAATTAGATTGAGGGATAAACAGAATCTGGGCTTAACTGCTGCTTCCCATCTCAAAAGAGCAAATCAGGATTAAACTGAGAAAACTGTTTAATGAGATAAAATGGTGTGAGGAACTTGAGCGCAGCATCACTGCACCAAACCTCAGGCACCTAAGTGGGGTATCTAATTTGGGATGACAATGACAGGATCACAGAACGGTTTGGGTTGGAAGGGACCTTCAAAGATCATCTAGTCCAACTCCCCTGCCATGGTCAGGGACATCCTTCACTAGATCAGGTTGCTCAAAGCTCCGTCCAACCTGACCTTGAATACTTCTAAGGATGGTGCATCCACAACTTCTCTGGGCTACCTGGCCCAGTGTCCCACTACCCTCATGGCAAAAAAATGATTCTGCATGCCTAAGATCCACTCTCTGAAGGTACGTGGTTCCTTCCAGTGCCCCCAGAAGATGCCTAGGATAACAAGACACCTAAGTTAGGTACTCTGGTAACACGACCAAAATTAGGTTAAATAGACCCAAGTTTTGGAGACCTGAATGTGGAGAAAGCTTGACATTTCTTTCTTTCAATGGTGCATGAGTTGCTTAAAATTTTATTCCATATGCAGGGGGGGAAACCCTGCATCAAAAGGCTCTGGACCTGGGTCAAAAACAACTTCAAAGAGGGAATAAATCACCCTAAGAGAGTGATCAAAGGCACTCACCACCAAAGAAAGCTTCATCATAGGAATGAGAAAGCTTAGGAGTGTGAAAGGCTAAGCTGGGATAAAAGGAGGAACCCCAATACCTTCCTCCTGAAGAGTGGGTAGCGCTGAGCCCCCGATTTCAAGCAAAAGGAGAACATTTTTAGTCAGCCTTTCTCCAGTGACCCAAAATAGGCTGATATCACTGCTGCAGAGTGTGCTGTTTACTGGCATCCCAGCCGGCAAGCAGACAGTGCAGCTCCTGCCAGTATCGCAGTCACAGATTCAGGACTGGTGTCTTGACTCACATCTTATGCAATCCTTCTCCTCACCAGGAAGCGAGAAAGAACCTATTAAATCTGCCCACACAGCGTCTCTAATGCCTGAGCTGAAAGTGGTAGGAAATTATGATAGAGGTATGGAGCCCTTCCCCAGGTTTCAAGCAAATCAGGGGAAAGTTCCTTCAGAAAAAAATGTACGACTAATTATGGATTTTCCAGCTGCGATAGTGTTTGGAGGTCTAAGTCTTTCTTTAATTAAATCAGAGGTTTATGACTGAACACTTACATTTCTGGTAGGAGTCTGTAGGGAGTAGCCTTTGAATTGGTAAATCAGTTGCCTGAATAAACCACTTGTCAAGCTAAAACGTTACGTTCTTTGAGTTATGTGCTAAGTTTAAACAAGAAAATAAGTAAGTGAATTTAGTGGGGATGAAAAATGACAAACTGGCAGCACTGAAAACAAGTCTTTCTTTTACCCACAGGTCCAGAATAGCTCC